ACGACGTTTGTGTACATCATGTTCCGTTTGGTTTTCTTCAGGCAGCTGCTCTTCGGTTTCTTCTCCTTGCTCCAAACCGACTTGACGACCCGCTCGCCTCCCCCTCCAACACTGTTTCCATTGAACTCGTCCAGATGTTCGATATTCGGTTCACTGTAGTAGCAATTGTCGGAAATGATATTGTTGTTATTGTTGCTCTGGCCGATGCATTCGCAGCTGTTGGATTTGCCTTGCTGTTTGTAGTTCGAAGCTCCTTCGTTGCTGCTTCCCGAGTCCAGGCTGGAGTTCGAGTCCGAGCAACTGCACTTGTAGAATTCATTGCCATCTTTAGCCCCGCGCTTTGACTGGGCGCGCTTCTCCGGTGGCCCATACTCGAAGATGCCCGAATTGTCGTACTTGACGTAGTTCTTCTGGTCTTCGATGTTCTCGAAGACATCTACTAAAAACGAAATATGTGGGTAAGTGCTCTATCTGACTGATACACCCGCTAACGACTCACCTGTTTTCCCATAATCCAGCACTTCCGAGCACGCATTTCTATACACATACTGCCGATTATCTCCGGCCTCTTCATCCCCATAGTCAAACCCATCGTCATCGTACTCCGAACACCAGGAGTACCGGCCCTTCACACCAACATGCTGCTTATTCTTATTCGCACCCGTTTTGTACGTGATAAATCCATGCTCAATGTGAATGTTGTCCGTCTTAGTGTTCTTCAGTATATCCTCGTGGAAAGAAACCCGCTTCTTCGGGGTTTTGCTAGCAGTTGACGCTGTCTTCTTCACCCTTCTCCTATATACAATATTCTCCGCATCGAACGTCGAACAAGTGCTCGAAATCATCTCGTCCGGAATCTGACTGCTGGTCAGCGCTTGTTCCACTTCTGCCCCACCTCCGACGACCCCATCGTTCTTCTGGATATCGATTTCCACAAATCTACCAATCTCCTCCTTCACCGGACTCTCCAGTTCCGCCTTTTCATTGTTGTTGTTGTTGTTGTTTTGCAAATTCGTAGCCTCGAACTCGAATCCACCCGCGCTGGAGATCATAGATTCGTTCAGTCCACTCGACTCCGAATCCAGCAACTGCACGCCGGAATCGCTCGGAGTCGTATCGTCCAGAATGCTCGCTATACTGCTCGTCATGGCCGCTGCTATCGGCCCGTCCACCAGCTTATCATCGATCTTATCGCAACTACCCGCGGGATTATTATTATTGTTATTACCAACTCCCCGGAGCACCTCCGGATTTTCTACAATGAAAATTCCAATTATAGCATTTTACGCAGTTATCTCATCAGCGAAGCTGATTCATTTAAAACAAATCCCTTGCACTCATATCAAACTATTCGTATTACTCACCTAGTTTCAGCGCGATAACTTCCATCGTTTCGAAACACTTCAGTCAAGTCGCAAAATAACCCACAGGATATTTTTTTCGTCTTCAAGAAACCCCCCCTGAGTGCTAACCGAAGAGCCTATCGATTTTTCCTTTGTCGCCTGTGCTAGCAGGAAACAGCAGCTGCTGCTGCTGCTGAAGGACTCCCTTCTCTTCTATTTTATTTTTCTTCCGATTTCGCTCACATTACCACCCAATTCCGGCGCACGGAAAACATTTTCCACACTGAACTGTACTGAGCACCGCGCGATGGAACTATTTTCGGACCGATTCGGTGGTGAAAATTGCGACTTTTATCACTTTTCTCTACGAGAAGCTGAAGCACCCACTGCAACAAGGACGACGACGGCAGGCCATTTTTGTTTCGATTTTTCTCCAGGAAAAGGAAAAAATGATGCAAAGTCTTGACAGTTTTGATTCGCCGCAGGGCTGCGCTGGAAAATTTAGCACAAGCAGGTCATCCATATACTACGTAAAGTTTTGCTCTACACGGCCATTGAATCTTTTTAAACTTGAGATCCCTCGTAAAAAAAATCTAATAAAATTACAATGATTATCATTGCCATTGTAACCATGATATTTACTGTTAAAACATTAGACATTTTTGTCGATGTGTGTGTGTATGTGTGTATTCAATCTAACCCCCACTGGCCGGCAGTGGTATCAACAATCAATACGAAACTAACGATTTTAAATTGGCTCACTACCTGACTAGCCTATTGGTCCCAAGAAAACGATTACCGTACCCCATTCTAGTACCCCAGAAGGTCCCGAAGAAACGAGCTCAACTTTTTGGCTCAGCTCTGGTACTATCTTCGGTCCCAAGCTAATCGATTCACCCCTCGAAACATAGGAAACTCCACTAACCCCTCATTTTATCTGTCAAACTTTCATAGCGAATCAAAACAAACATAGTGTTGTACTAGAATTTTGACTAGAATGGGATACGTTAATCGTTTGCTTGGGACCAATAGGCTAGTCAAGTAGTGAGCCAATTTAAAATCGTTAGTTTCGAATTGATTGTTGATATTACCATAGAGGTAACTCTAAGACCATTGGGTCCCGAAGAAAATCATTATTATTTTTGGCTCACTCAGTACCAGAACAACGGTCCCAAGCAGTCCCAAGCTAATTTAAAATCGTTAGTTTCGTATTGATTGTTGATATTACTGCCATGATAACGATTGACGTCAAGAATGCGTTCAACAGCGCCAGCTGGGAGGCCATCGCCGAAGCGCTGCATAGAATGAGGATCCCTGATTACCTGTGCAGGATTCTAAGGAGTTACTTCCAGAACCGGGTTCTGGTCCACGAGACAGACATGTGTCAGAGATCACAGTGGGAGTTCCACAAAGCACCATCCTTGCTCCAACGCTCTTGAACGGGATGTACAACAGCGTGCTAACGCTGAAGCTGCCCAAACAAGTTGAGATCGTTGGCTTTGCGGACGACGTCGTCTTACAGTAACAGGCAAGACGCTGGAAGAAATGGAAATGTTGGCGACAGAGGCGATCGACAAAATTTCAAACTGGATGCATGGAGCTAAGCTGCAGATAGAAAACAAAAAAATAGAAGTGCTTTGGTTAGTAACTTTAAAGCAGTGCAGTGAACAGAAATCACCGTTGGGAAGCACGTCATACACAGCAAAAAAAATGTATTATCGATCAACGTAATTCAAGCTGATGTATGAAATAATGATGTAATATCAAAAGGCAGATACAATATTACATCAATGGATGTAATTTTGTTCGCAAAATCAATGTACATCGTACAATGTGATATTACACAACCGATGGATTGACCTGGTTGCAGCAGTTTCGATGTAATATTCAACAACTTTTTTTGCTGTGTAGGTATCGGCTCAACAAACCGTACGCAAACAGTTTTGCCTTTTCGAGACGTTTGGTTTATCCTATGTTGTAAGAATAGTAAACATTTATCAGTAAGTCCATTAATGGTTGATCTTGATTTAAAATCATTTTCGAATTAACCACTTCATTCGAGCAGTTAAAATGACGTTTACTACCACTCGAACTTTGAAATAAAACATTATTTTGAGATTTTTTCTTCTAGAACCACGAGAAAAGTAGCTAACATTTGTGCGTTTCATAAAAAAATAGAAATTAGTTGATCCAGTTTTGTGAAATCGCTGGTAGAAAGTCACGCCAAAACTGCTTGACAAAGTGGTCAATTGGGTTGTTTAGGGGTATTGAGGTGTATTCTGTATCTGTATCTGACAAAATCGGGAGAATAGTGAACCACGATTTTCATTGTTGTGAACCATGAATTCCATTGTCATTTTATGGTAATCGACAAAAATGTCTAATGATTTTTTCGATTACTGCGAGTGAACAAACCGGTGCATTTTCGGAGGCAGAATTTGGTGAGATCCATCTGATTATAAATCAATCATAAATGCATATTTCCAAATATTACTAAATACGCGCCAGATTTCGAAACATCACATTTCGAAATCTGTACCATTATTCATATGGTAACGGTAGTGTTTACACGCGGGGCTTATTGTATGTGAAAGTAACCTCGGAATGGACGTGAATTACCAGGCATTCTGAAATGGGTTGCTGAATCTGCAGTAGAGCCAACAATCAATAGGAAACTAACGATTTTAAATTGGCTCACCACTTTAGTAGCCTATTGGTCCCAAGCAAACGATTAACGTACCCTATTCTAGTTGAAATTCTATTACTACACTATGTTTGTTTTGATTCGCTATGAAAGTTTGACAGATAACATCAGGGGTGTGTGGATTCATGCAGAACATGCAGGGGTGAGTGAAATAGCTTGGGACTGCTTGGGACCGTTGTTCTGGTACTGAGTGAGCCAAAAATAATAATGATTTTCTTCGGGGCCCAGTGGTCTTATAGTACGTTCAGACTACAGAGTTATAACATGTTATAGCGCTATCTTGATGGTGGTTTCTGTGTTGAAATTATTTGACAACCGTTAAAACATGTTATAACTCTCCAGTCTGAACAAGGCATTAGAGTTACCTCTATGTTATCACCTTCAACGTGAACTGAAAAACGACTACGAGTGCCATCGTGTTTGACATTGTCATTTTTGATCGTTTTAGTATACACTGATCGAATTCCACTCCGATAAGCGGACTGAGTATAGTTTTGAAGAAAATATTAATCGGACCAATGTATATATTTTGATTAATAATAAAATGCATAAAATTTAATCAACATTGGTTTTGTAATATTTTTGAGTGTACATAAATTTGATTATTTTTTTTATACCGTGATACCGTGTTCTAAATGAGGGCAACCCTGCATAAATTGTACTAAAGTCCTTCAGCTGTTCTTTCAAAACATAAACAAAGGAAAAAAGCACACCCCAGTGCAGTGCTGCTGGCCCTACAGATTTTTTCTTTCAGTAATTATTGATTCATTGTGAATAATATTTTAAATTCCAGAATAGGAATCCTGTTGATTTAATGATTCCATGATATTGCATTGTTTTTTTTTATTCAGTTTTTCCCTACCGTAGTTATCCATAAAAATCTGTCTGTTTCCTAAAATGAATATAAATAATTTAGAAAATCATCAGCCACGTTTGCCTCAAAGTCTGACATCACTGCACTTCCCGAGCCAAAATCGATCGCGACTGCCAAACGCAAAACTGAAAACGTAAATAAAAACAAATCCCTTGGCAGGAAGCTCCTCCCATCTTCGAATTGAAATTATATTGTCCAATATTCGCGAGTGCTGGATTTAACTTCGGTGGATATAATGCAGTACCCATCACAATGAGCGAGAACAATCCCGGACGAGGTAACATTAACAACGGATCCAGTTTCAAGCGACCCCGACTGCTGTCGTTCCAGGGGCCCACGTCCGAGTCGGTTGCAGTGAATCACGGTGGTCGTGCCCCCATGGCCGCTGGGCCTTCATCAAGTTCGTTGGAGGAAATCAACGTGCGTCAGCCTGCTCTAGTGGACATGCGTCCGGGGATGGCACCGGATTTGGCCAGCTGGCAGGAGGCTCAAATCGCAGCGTGCATTGAGGACAACACCATCAACATGGTGCTGGAGCAGTATTTGAACTTTTTCGAAACACGCCACTACGGAGTGGAGGCACAAGGGGTGGTAGCCGATCCGGTGGAGGAAGCCGAGATGGAACCCGAGCAGCCAGAAGCGGAAATGATAGAAGACCGTGCAATAATGGCCGCTATCAGCGAACGAGGATTGCAACCCGTGCAGCCGCTCGGAGACGATGCGGAAGATGGCGATGGGGCGGCAGGCGGTTCGGGATCGATGGGAGATGGTGCCGAGGGACGTCGAATGGATCTGGACCATCATCAGCAGGGCATGGATTTGCTCGAGACGGCCGTTGTGGCAGCAATTCAGGAGAAGGGTTTGATCAGTGCTGGCAATCAATTTGGCCAGATGGATGAGGACGACGGGAGCTAGTGGATTCGCTTCGGGTGGATTTGCGTATTGACCATGTTTCATAAGTGTATTCATATACTATATATGTAGACAGACAGGCAGTCATGAATTATTATACCTAGTCTGTAGAAATCGACTTAGAATCTTTAATAATTTTTTTTTAATTTGCGAATCGAAGCAATTTTTTTTTTTCATGTTGACTTGATATCTTTACTGTGTACATTAGACATAGGAATAATAAATATCGTACTACAATACAGCGTGTTTGGTTATGCTCTTCTTTAGAAATTTTGCCCGACAATACATTTGCTTGGATGTTATAATTTCCTCTTGATTTACCGTGAAGTACCATAATTCCACGCTTTTTTCCACGTTTTGCAGTTAATTGAAATTCTGTATGATGATGTACTGCTAGTTTCTAATGTTGCATCCAGCTTAAATCCCTACACCAGAGTAGTTTGTCCAATAATTGTTCTCGGAAAAACCAACCGATAGCATTGTGTAAAATTGACCGCGAAGAAACGGTGCCGCAGCTCCGTTTCGATTTTTGCACCCTGGACGCTGAGTACAGCTGGGAAAACATGTTTGTGGAAGGATCTTCTGGAGTAGATTTTGGTGGTACGAAATCAATCCAACGAGGACTCTGAATATGGACCCAATTTGGGACTACTTGAACTAAAATCTCCATACCCGAACAAGGTAGCACAGACAAACAGACATAACACTCGCAAGTTATTCATCGAACAAGCATTTAACGGACAATTTAAAAGTATCGCAGTTGGTAGTACCGCCACCTGTGGCGTGCATAGTCAATTCCATTGCGTTTGACGTTTACACACTACCGCCATCTGTTCAGTGTAGTGCCCACCACAGTATCCAGCATTTTACGAGCGCTGATGGCCGCCCCAATCTAGCTGAGTTTCTGGTAGGGGACATTCGATTTGATGTTTGGGTTAGGTCGTTTGATGTATAAACGATCAAATTTGACCGTTTAAAGGTCAAACGACACAAGCCAAACTTCAAATCATATATTCCTTACCAGAAATTCAACCAGATTTTGGCGGCCATGAGCGCTCGTAAAATGCTGGATACTCAACAGATGGCGGTAATGTTTAGCGACCATGTTTTACAGTGAGAAATATTCAATGTGTTATGTCTGTTTGTCTGTGAAGGTAGTTTCACCTAGAAATACTCAGAGGGAGAGATGGGCGGAGAAAACAAAATACAATTCGGCAGCAGGGATTTGTACCTAAATAATCTTGCAACTCACATGACTGTTACTTTTGATTTGATTTACGTGCACAATAATAATTGATTACATCGCAATATTTTGCACATTTCTTTGTGCCATTAATTAACCAACTGAGATCAATTAATCAATAGAGTTAGAATATTGGTTTTTATTCAAAAAACTAGTTGAATTTGAGAAACACACGAAACATGAAGGTGATTGAGTTTCTGTTCGATTGCAATACTCTCAAATTTAATCTAGTAAGAATAAGAAATCCTCGGAAAAATTCTAATGGGAATGTTCGATTGGCTCAGATTTTGACAGTTCATTTGGCTCAAAACATTCCTTCCGCTTATCTCTCCCTCTGAGTATTTCTAGTCTACCTTAAGATTTTATTAAAATAATTTGTTCGCAAAATAAATGCCTTTTAAGATTGCACCCGTATACCTCTCTGTCACAGAACAGAAGGGATTAGAAACTGGCTCCACTTTTCATTAGCGAATACTAGCGCACCTAGCAGTACACACAAGGGGTAAGTCACTCTGCCACATTGTGTTATCACTCACGAAAACACACTTCGACACTCTTAAAACACCCACAAACACCATTACGTCGCATGATAAGCATATTTTTTAATCAATTCTGGGACCACTGCAAATACTGTTTACATTAGGTTGTTATTTTGTTGTTGAGAAAAAAAACTAGCCAAAAAATGTCGTACCATTCTGCCGGTAAAGAAAAACATTCTGGAACTGGATTGAAATAAAGAAAAGGAAATCCGAAACAGGTTGGGATCCACGAAAGCAGCAGCATCAGGAGTTACAGATGCTAAAAAGGTAAATGTCTCGCAAGAAAACCAAGACAAACGCAACGGAACAGTTTGTAAATCGTAGGTTCTCACCAGCAGCAGCCCAATCACGGCCCAACCGACAAACCGACATGAAACTAAAACCCTAAAACTTAACTCTTGATCGAGAATCCATAACGGCGAATTCAAATGTGCAGCGATCCCATCTGTCAAAACCATAGAAATTTGTTATCTAGATAAAAATAATTTGCCCGGAATAGATTAGACACGAACCAACTCATATATTTAGCACACAATTTTCGCGAACAAGACGGCAGATGTCAGTTTTGTGCTTTGATCAGAAATTTGATGATACTTTGTCGGATGATCATTCATGTCGGTTTGTCGGTGGTATTAGCTGCAAATAATTTCCTGTCGGGTTTGCTTTTTCATTAAACAAATAACAGCAAAGGATTCGCAGAGGGCTCTGTCATTTTCAACGTTATGTTATGGTTGAGGATATGGTTGCCAGAAAATATAGCTTTTGGGTAGAAGTTTTGACAGCACGATGAAACACCCAGAAACACCTTCAGGCACTCAAAAACACACATGAAACACAATAAGCACAGACACAAGGGGGCAGAGTGACCTACCCCCTGGTGTTCACTCGGCTGTCGACAGAAGTAGGCCAGAGACGTTGATAGACAACAACAGCAGCACGGTTTTTGAGGAATCTTTTGGCAATGTCACTGGCAACCATGTTTCTTCGAGTGGCTTCAAATGACATTCATACTGTGCCGCAATGCTGTTGAGAAAATTTGAATGAACCGGAACTGAATAAAGCGTTTCGTTACTGTTCCATTCAAGTAATCGCAGCAACCTACAGCTGCGACCGAGATGGAAAAATTAGGATTCGAAGTGTAGATGTCAACCTGAATAAACGTATAGTTAGAAGCACTCAAACTTTCTTTATTCTTTGAGAAGAACACTTCAGTTGGCGACGAGGATTTTTCTGGAAGCTCACAAGTTCAAGACATTCCAGAATCGAACCAAGAAGGATGGCGGCGACAAACGAAGAACTCCAAGCAGCGATATTTCAGCTTCTCCAGCGGTTGGCCGTTCCACAAGCAACGAACCCAGAGCAAGTTTTGGAATCCCTGTCGACGAACATCAGCGAGTTCTGCTTCGATCCGGAGAACGGCACCACATTCGAAAAATGGTTTGCCCGTTACTCGGATTTGTTTGAAAGCGACGCACGAAGTCTGGACGACGCAGCAAAAGTTAGGCTTCTGCTCCGGAAGTTGGACACGTCCTCTCACAGTCGCTACGTCAACTACATCCTTCCGAAACTACCAAAGGACGTCACGTTTGCCGATACTGTCAAGACACTCACAAAGATCTTCGGCAGCAGACCTCCGTATTCCACAACCGCTACCAGTGCATGCAGCTACTCAAGTCCGAGGCCGACGACATAATCACCTATGGCGGAAAAGCCAACAGGACATGTGAAGAGTTCGAGTTCCAAAATTTGAAGATTGGTTACTTCAAGTGCTTGATTTTCGTCTGTGGTCTCAAAGCACCACGCTACGCGTACATTCGAGCAAGGCTTCTATCCCGGATTGAAGGTGAAACGGCTGATGCTCCGGTGACAATTCAAACTCTGATCAACGAGTTCCAGCGGCTCGTCAACATCAAGTCGGACACTACGATGATCGAACATCCATCAAGTTCGAAGAATTCGGTCCATAGCATTTCGGAGAAGAAACCCGGAAACCAGCATCGTCCACTGAAAACGGAAAGCAAGTCCACTCCTCGTACTCCATGCTGGCAGTGTGGTCAGATGCACTACGTCCGTGACTGTCCATTTTCTGATCATCTCTGCAAGGTATGTAACCGCATCGGTCATAAAGAAGGCTACTGTAGCTGCATCAAGAAGTCTTCAAGCGACTCTTCAACTCAACCTCGAGAGAAGAAGCAGTTCCAGAAGAAGGTCGGTCCCAGATCTCAAGCCAAGGGAATTTTCGTGAAGCACATCGCAAACAGCAACCGGAAACGCAAGTATGTGACCATCATCATCAACGGCGTCATGACTTCGCTACAACTGGATTCTGCAAGTGATATCACGGTGATTTCCAAGAAAACTTGTCAGCAACTGAGACGACCAAAGCTAACTCCATCATCGATCGAAGCCTCCAACGCATCTGGTGGACCACTCGCTCTCATCGGAGAATTCCATTGTGAAGCAGTCCTCAATGACATGGTCAAGCGTGGTCAGTGTTTCGTAACGTCATCACCAGATCTCAACGTAATGGGTATTGATTGGATCGACATGTTCAACCTGTGGTCGGTTCCGTTCGATACTCTCTGCAATCAAGTTTCTGCTGTATCCAGACCATGTTTCGCCGAAGCTAGAGCACAGCTGCAAGCCGAGCATCCGGCGGTTTTCGACGACTCGCTGGGCCACTGCAAGAAAACCAAGGTAAAGTTATTCCTCAAACCTAACGCCAAACCAGTTTTCTGTTCGAAGCGACCAGTTCCGTTCAACACGATTCCGCTGGTGGATGCAGAAATAACACGTCTTCAGTCTCTGGGAATCATCACGACGATCGATTTCTCAGAGTGGGCCGCTCCGATTGTAGCAGTACGCAAGCCGAATGGTAAAGTTCGCATCTGTGCGGACTACTCCACGGGACTCAATGAAGCGCTTGAAGCAAACCACTATCCTCTACCTACCCCGGAGGAGATCTTCGCACAGCTCAACGAAAGCACCATATTCAGCATCATCGACCTTTCCGATGCATACCTGCAAGTCGAAGTAGATGAAGAATCGAAGAAACTCCTCACCATAAACACGCATCGAGGCCTCTTCCAATTCAACCGGCTCGCTCCAGGGGTGAAGTCAGCGCCTGGAACATTCCGAAGACTGGTTGACAGCATGATAGCCGACATTCCTGGTGTTCGGTCGTTTCTCGACGACGCTATCATCTTCGGAAGAACCTGGGAGGAACACAAGGCGTCACTAGACAAGCTACTACAACGTCTAGGGGAAAATGGGTTCCATGTCAAGTTGGAAAAGTGCCATTTCTTCCAAACCGAAATGAGATATTTGCGACATATCGTCGATCGAAACGGCATCCGTCCGGATCCAGAGAAGCTTCAAGCCATCGCCTCTATTCCGGCACTCACCAATGTTTCCGAAGTGCGATCGTTCCTGGGAGCCGTTAATTTCTACGGTAGATTCGTGCGCAACATCCATGAGCTTCGTCATCCTCTCGACCAATTACTCAAGAAGGATTCGAAGTGGCAGTGGAATTCCGATTGCCAACTGTCTTTTGAGCAATTCAAGTAAGTCCTGCAGTCTGATATGTTGCTGACGCATTACGACCCGAAGTTACCAATCATCGTAGCAGCGGACGCCTCCAGCACGGGCATCGGTGCAGTCATCTTCCGTGAATTTTCGAATGGACATCTGTAGGCAATCCAGCACGCATCAAGATCCCTCACTCCAGCGGAGAATGGCTACGGGCAGCCGGAAAAAAGAAGCACTTGCACTAATATATGCGGTAACGAAGTTTCACAAGTACCTCCTGGGCGCAGATTCACTCTGCTCACGGATCACAAACCGCTGTTATAAATCTTTGGATCGAACACTTTGGATGCACACCGCAAATCGACTTCAAAGGCATTGATGCTTCTCAACTACGACTTCGACATTCGGCACGTGTCTACCAACGACTTCGGATGCGCCGATATGCTGTCAAGACTCATCGACCGTTCTAAGCAGCAAGAAGAGGAGTACGTTGTGGCAGCGATATCCCTAGAAAAAGACATGGTGAGCATTATTCAAAACACTATCGAGCAGGTACCAGTTTCGTTCGCAGACATCAAAAGTGCAACACAGGCAGATGAACCACTACAAGCGGTGCTGCAGTTCATTCGTGAGGGTTGGCCAAACGATGCACGATCAGTCGAAGATCCAGAGATTCGAGTCTGCTTCAACAGGCGGGAGTCTCTCACCAACGTCGATGGCTGTATACTATTCCACGACAGGGTAGTCGTTCCGAGCAAGTTCAGAGGCAAATCCTGAAGCAGTTTCATCGCGGACATCCCGGCATGGTACGAATGAAGTCTGTTGCACGACGCAGTTTCGGCCCGGAATCGACAACGACATCGAGAATTTCGTCCGGCGATGCACTCCCTGCTGCACTGCTGGAAAAGCACCAGTCAAAACAACGCTTGAATCGTGGCCCATCCCTGATAAGCCGTGGTCACGCATCCATATTGGACGGCGTATTTTTCCTGGTAATTGTCGACCCGTACACCAAATGGCCCGAAGTATACGCAACTAAAACCACAACGACAAGAACAACAATCAAGCTACTTACTCAAACGTTCGCAACATTTGGCGTGCCAGAAACCATCGTCCCAGATAATGGTACCCAGTTCACCAGCTACGAGTTCAAGAATTTCTGTGAGAATCAAGGCATTCACCACGTCCGCACAGCACCATTCCATCCTCAATCAAATGGGTTAGCAGAACGGTTCGTGGACACCTTGAAGCGCACTCTTTGGAAGATTCGATCGGGAGGAGACACACTGGAGGAAGCATTGCAGACGTTTTTGCAAGTTTACAGGTCAACACCAACGGCTGACCTAGGTGAAAAGTCTCCTGCAGAAATAATGTTCGGACGACCGGTCCGCACAGTTTCGTCAATGCTACTACCGCAACACAACCGTACATCAGCAGCACAACCGAAAGCAGATGAGCAAAACAAGCGTTTCAACAAGAAGCATGGAGCGATTTCGAGGCAGTTCGTTCCGGGTGATGCTGTATATGCTCAAGCCCATCAAGCAAATTCCTGGAAATGGCAGGCTGCCACAGTAATCGAGCGTGTCGGAAAAGTCAACTACAACGTTTTCCTGGAGGATAATCAGCGGCTCATCCGTTCTCATGCCAATCAACTGAAGCAACGTGCGGTCGAATCTGGTCGTGATCCTAGTCGGTATTCTTCGACGGTTTTGGCCTAGACGTCGGGCTGCAGTGCCCTACCAACTTGGTCCAGTTGATGAAGAGCTTGGAAGTGATGACGCGGAGTATTTTTCGGATGATAGTGAGGCAGACAATCCACCACAGCAAGATCCAGTACCAGTTCCGCCAGCAACAAGGGAACACCGGCAGACTCGTTTACCAGCTAGATTCGAGGAGTACTGGATGAATTAAGAGGGGAGTTGTTCCATTCAAGTAATCGCAGCAACCTACAGCTGCGACCGAGATGGAAAAATTAGGATTCGAAGTGTAGATGTCAACCTGAATAAACGTATAGTTAGAAGCACTCAAACTTTCTTTATTCTTTGAGAAGAACACTTCAGTTACCTTTAGGCTGAGAAGCCATGCGCCGTACGAAGTTCGATCAAATAAGCATGCCAGTCGCTCCATGACAGTATAAATTTTGTCATATTTTACTGTTTTGCTTGCAGCGCAATCATTTTTATTAACAAAACTAAATGAAACGTTCCGATTTGAAATAGTTTTTAATCACTAAAAAATGTTGTATTTGAGCACAATACTCCTTTCTGGTAAATAAGGTGATCCAAGAGACGTTTCTCAGTGGAACTGACAGCGGTAAATCTAAAGTGTGTGAGTGATCTGGTGTTAATGGTGCTAAATGTAAACATAAACAAAGCATGATTACCGATAATTTAGGAATGTGCACTTTCTTCGATTATCGGTAATTTCTACCGATATTTAGGTATTCTTTACCGACTTTAAGGTATGTGCATCTTAGCGTGTAGGAAGCGGAACACTTTTTCACTTTTCCTGATAAATTTATTCATCTGAGATGCTCAAACACTTGATCTATAGTTGGGAAAATTTAATTTTTTACCGTTCTTGAAAGGATCCTGCTGGTGTACAGGAGTATTTTTGATGATAAAAACTGAAAATAGGCCTTTTTAATGCACCACCAACGTAGAGTGCGCCTCGCGATTTCGAGAAAAAACATCAACCAAACCGTTTGTTTACATCAGAATAACTATTTTTCACAACGCAAATTAAAGCATTTTTAATTCAATATCTTGCCAATTTCCATCGGTAATTGTCTTATAGTCCGATTTTCCACAGATCTGAATTGATTTGTACCTTAACTATTCACACACAAGAAATCCGGAAGATCATAACCACTAAGGCACATTTCTAATTTTCCATTTTTCTCAACAAAAATATTCCTGAACACCAGCAGGATCTTTGCAAAAACGTTACAGAATTAAATTTTTCAATTGTAGATCAAGTTTTGGAGCATCTCTGATAAATCAATTTATCAGGAAAAGTAAAAAAGTTTTCCGTTTCCTGTCTCAAGGTAGAAATTTCTGCTCACAACACTCTTTTTGACGTTTTCCTATTCATCACCAGAGGTTGAATCGATCGTTTAGTTTCTATTAAAAAGGCGTATTAGATTAGTGCCTTGATCTTCCGGAATTCTTGTGTGTTAATAGTAGCTGAGGTATAAATAAGTTCAGATTTGTGGAAAATCGTAAAATAGGACAATTACTCATGACAAGATGTTCAATGAAAAATGCTTTTATTTGCATAGTGAAAAATCCTTATTCTGATGTAAACAAACGGTTTGGTTGACGTTTCCTCTCGAACTCGTGTGGCGCACTCTACGTTGGTGGTGCATTAAAGAGACCTACACACTCTGATTTTACTCTAAAGTGAGTAACTTTGACTCAGTTTCGTATTTGAATGCTAAATGTCAAAAACTGAGTAACATTAATTTAACAAAGTGAGTAACATTTACTCTAATTAAATAAATATGGATCTTTACTGTTTTGAGTAAGAACAAATGTGATAAACGTCCGAAAATTTTGAAGTCCTGGGCTGAAATCAAATTCCCAGAGAAATTCCCACAAAGCGTTCAAAGAGTGAAAGTTTCAGCGTTCTGTGAAACTTTTCTGGACTAAACTAGCGTGAGTAGCAGTTGGTGCTTTTCCTTAGATAAACTTTATTTCAGCCCAAATTTGCACAGGTTACGTTTTTCTGAGCTTCTGCAACAACTTTTGGTTGTGAACTTCAGAATCCCAAGCTCGATCCAAAGGAAAGTTCACTGTAAGAGTATTGCAAGTAAGCTTTATGAGAAAATCGGAAAATAACAATATATTCAAAAAGAAATTATTTTTTAGAAAAAAAATGCTGAGAAACTGATCCGTAAGTTGTGCCAGAAAGCTGCTCAGTCCATTTCGAGATGTTTAATGTGTTACATCCCTGGTTACTTCCCGGAATGAAAATAGCACCTGGAGATGTCAGATGATAGCTGCAGTGGTCTTGGGAATCGCTTAATAAGCAGAATTATTATCAATTTGTTGATTAGAGTTTATAAAATTAATTGTTTTAAATAATTCTGTTGTGATAAAATAAATCGTTTTTATTATGCTTCAAAAAAGATTCGATAAAATAATTTCCTGTCAAAATACAATATTTACAAAACTGAGTAACCCAAGGGGTGAGTCACTCAGCACATTGTGCCCGAAATTAGATTCGACACAGCTTGGGTACATCCTTCGGCACACCTTCGGCACAATCTCGTAGGCATTGAATTTTAGTAAATAAAATAGGAGCACGAATGTAAAATTGAAAAATTCAGTCCACTGCGTGTTTTATAAGCGATGGATTTTGTTGTTTTTATTGGTTTGAGCAAAAATGATGTACAAGCTACTAGACTGCGGTAGAAACTCCGAATGAAATCCAAATTAAAATAGAAAAAAAAAAACATTTTACATTCCTGGCATCATTGGTCACCTCCATCAAACACCATGCACAACTGTCAGAAGGACATTCTTCAAAAACATTAAGAAGAGTGAGAAGCTCGATTCTCAACTGGACAACTGTCATTGAAGTTGTTCACTACATTACGTGCTGTTTGTGGTGTATAGAGTTGGTGTAAAATAAAAATTATAAAAAAAATTAAAATTAAGTCATTAATGAAACGCGTAATTTGAGTAAACCCAAATTAGCGTGAATGTGAATAAAATCTAACTATCATTTCTTTGTGAGGGCAAATCCCGAGACAGCTAGCAGTGCTGTGTAAAATAGGGAACATTCTTTCGGTATAAATATGGGCTAACTAAGCTCGCAGAAGGCATTCTTGTGACGAACGTTGAAGGCGACGGACGAGCCGCAGCAGCAGGAGGAACAGCAGCAGCAACAGGAACAGCAGCAGCAGCAGGAATAGCAGCAGTAGCAGTGGAAGCTTAGCAGCCGAGATTCGTGTAGCCGTGACCGAGGCTGGAAACCTTGGTCCGGTCACGACAATGGCGCAGCCGGTAGATCAGTGTCATTGTAAGTATAGTGTAATGAAAAAAAATATTACTCTCCGACGGAAGGGCGGAGCAGTAATAATTGTTTGCAGTAGGCTCCTTGGCGGAGTAGGCTGAGAATAAGACAAAAAAAAATACATGACATATAGACTACCCTGGACGGGCAATTAGAAAATATCTCCGGTAGGCTCCCTGGCAGAATGGCCAGTGGAGTAGGCCGGAAGACAAAACAAAAATATCCCCGGTAGGCTCCCTGACGGAAGGGCAGTAGAGTAGGCCAGGATACAAAAGAAAAAAAAAGTTCACCGTCAGAAGAACGGCAGAAGAGAAATTTCTTTGGTAGGCTCCCTGGCAGAATGGCCAGCGGAGTAGGCGGTAAGACAAAAAAAAAGGTAGTGTCCCCTGATGGGGCAGTGGACTGCCTGGGAGATGGAACAAAGGGATGCTCCTCGTCGGAGTGACGGTGGAAGAGGAGTGTCTCCGGTACGCTGGCAGAATAGCCGGAGGACGAAAACAAAACGGAATGTTCCCGGTGGGCTCCCTGACGGAAGAACAGTGGAGTAGGCCGGGAGATGAAAGAGGTTCCCCGTCAGAGGGATGGTGTAGGAGAGAATGTCTGGTGGTTCCCTGACCCAGCCAGCAATGGAGTGGCAGAGAAGAAACAAGCAAAAACGTTAATTTTAAATTGATGTTTTTTTTATGTTTAAAAAAAATATGATTTTGGAACATAAAAAATCACTGTACTAGATTTTCAGGATACAGTTATTTTGAAAAACTGCTAAGAGATTTTAGATTTATTTTTCCAAAGTTATGTTGGGTGAATTTTAAAATGAATTTTAGAGATAACTCCACGGTATGCTTTAGAGTAGGTAGACGGTAGAGTTTCTGGATAGTTTGAGTTTTCGAAAGGAGAACTTCAGGATAATTCTGAGTGAATTGCAAGACAATTCTGATATAAATTGCATGGGAAGTCTAAGGATAATTCATGAGAATAAAACAATTAAAGCTAATTCTTGGAGAAAGTGTTCAAGAATTTCATGAATTCTGCAGAGAATTTCTGATTTGTTATAAAGAAATTTTTGAGGTACTCCCAGGGAGAATCTCAAATTAGTTTAGGAAAGATTGTTGTGATAAGATCTCTGCGAAGGGAGGTTGTTTTGAAGAAGATGTTTGAGAGCAATCAAGTGAAATCCTCTTAAGTTTTAGACGGGTGTTGGAGACTTCGTTAGTTAGTTGTTTGGTTGGATATCTGTATTTAAAAGATAAGTTGACCTCGAGCGCAGAACCAGGTTCTGGGAGTTGGAAGTTGATTTTAATATTGCAGGTGACAGCAATTGTAAAGTTTAAGATGATTCTAGGGTTGATGTGAAGCTGATAGTAAATAATGATGTAGTTTTCGACTTTGTTAAAGTTGATATTCTTGATTAAGTTAATGTATTTAATGTTACATTCATAGTGTTGTGACGAAAAAGTTTGGCTTACAGGTAATGTTTGAAGATAATAATTATATTTTAGCTCATTCCAGACTTGAAGTGGACGGTTGTTTGCTAAAGTTGATAAAGTTTACGAGAATGATGTGGGTTGAGATGGCAATGTTGAAGCTGACATCATTGTTTGAGTTAAGCATTGAATTAATAATGCTGTTGATGTTTATTTAGGTTGATGAGATTGATATCAATGCTAGAGTTTATTAAATTATTGAGGTTTTTGGCTTT